AGGTTGATAAGGTTAATAATGATATTTGTAATGCTATATTGTTGGCAGCAAGTCAGACTATTCCAAAGAAGGGAGGTAAGAAAAAAAAGAAGATTGTACCATGGTGGACAAAAGAATGTGATCAAGCAATTCAATCTCGAAATAAAGCTTTTAAAAGGTTAAAAAAGCATCATAGTTTTCAGAATTTTATTGAATATAAAAGGAAGCAAGCAAATGTACGGAGAATCATCAAATATACAAAAAAAGAGTTTTGGAGGAAGTTTTGTAACACAGTGGGAAGGGAAACAGAAATAGGTCAAGTATGGGGAATGATAAAACGAATGAATGGGATAAAAAGAGAGTTTGGGTATCCAATTTTAAGGGATGGAGATACAACAGCTGTAAAAGATGAAGAGAAAGCAGAAATGTTGGCGAAAAATTTTGTTAAAATACATAAATCAGACAATATTAGTGAGGAGGGAAAAAGAGGAAGGGAAAGGACGTTGGAGCAGTATAAAGAGATAATACAGAATGAGGAATACAATAATGATCAACTAAATATGACATTTACGAAGTCAGAGTTAAATCGAGCTCTTAGAAAAACCAGGAAATCAGCTCCAGGTATGGATCAGATTTGCTATTTAAAATGGTGAATGAAAGGTTAATGTATCATGTGGAAAATAATCAATTTTTATCCAAATATCAGAGTGGTTTTAGGAGAGGGAGAAATACAATGGATCCGGCTGTGTGTTTAGAACACGAAATAAGAAAAGCACAAATAAATAGAGAGAGTGTAGTGGCTGTCTTCTTTGACATAGAGAAAGCATACGACATGATGTGGAAAGAGGGGATGTTAATCAAATTATGTAAGTTAGGTATCAAAGGTCAAATGTATAGATCGAGGATTTTTTATCAGGAAGAGCAATAAAAGTGAGAATAGGAAATAGTTATTCAGAAAAGTTTGTGATTGAAAATGGAACTCCACAAGGAAGTATAGTGAGCCCTTTATTGTTTTCCATAATGATAAATTATGTGTTTGAAAATCTGGATAATGGGGTGGGGTTTTCACTCTTTGCTGTGTTTGAAAATCTGGAAAACAGGAAAGGAGTTGGAATTTATAATAATAGAAGTATTGGGAAAAAAAGGAAATGTTAAAATTATAAATTTTTTATAATCCATGTAAAAGATTATCACTAGAGGTATTGGATGAATTGATTGTATACATTTAGAAGGGAAAATCATATGTTGCGGAGATTTTAATGC